AAGAACAAATTAAAATATACCAAGCAAGAAAAGCTTGTGTTTTCCAATCTGTTGGGGCACCATGCCCTGTCTCCAATGAACAGCGAGCATTTCATGGTTTGATTCAGCAGCAACAACTTGTGTTTATTGCTAGGTGTTTACCGATCTCTCTCCCCTTCCTCAGGAAGCAGAATTCATTGCTTGCAGAGAGAGAGACAGAGAAAGGGGAGAGTATATCTTCAGGAAGTGGCTGTGAGATTTTTGTAGCTTAGGTAAAAAGGTATTTGAGTTTAGGCATAGTTTTAAGTATGATCCTATTTATGGCGTTAAAAGGGGTTGTGTATTTTTTTTAACTTGTGCATTAGGGGGGTTTACATTTCAGATCACGGGTTTACATCCTTAGACGTGTGCTTAAGTTGTTGAGCTGCCTAAGAATGTGGAAGAACAGATAGCAGGCTTCTTGTTTTGCTTTTTAAGGTGGCAAGCTTCAGATTGTGTGTGTGTGTATGCATCCATATATACTTTATCTCACATGATGGGACCTTCAAAAGTTCATGGGAAAATGACTTTTTCCAAGAGCTTTTTCAAGTCCCTTGGATATGCACACATACATACACATTAAAACAACACTGTCTTCAAGTTGATTCTAACAGTAACCCTGTAGGACAGTAGCGCTGGCTCTTGGGATTTCTGAGAGCATACGTCTTTATGAGGGAGAGTATCTCATCTTTCTCCAAGTTTGCAGGCCAAATGCTTAACCCATGGTGCCACCAAGGCACCCTTGTGTATGCCTATGAGCTATATCATTTTCTGTGGAAGAGAGCACTTGCAAGACCCTCTGCTGTGCCTGGTTTCCTTAATCAGTCGGAGCAGTTGTGGAAGTCTCCGTCTGAGAAGCAAGACTGACCGTAAGTTCAGCCTCTGCTCACACCATCCGTTTTCCGATGATAGATTCGGGGAGGACTTGGGTTTCAGCCACTGGTGCAAAACGCTTTGAAGCGGGCAGAGCTGGGGCATGCTCGGCATGTGCTTTCAATGTAAACAGGGTGTGGAAAATGGCCACTTAACCTCGGACTTTTTTCTTTTAAATCCGTTCCCTGTAATGCATATTTTGTAAATAAGTGAAGGAACCAGGCCAGAAGTCCCCAAAGTAGTGCAATTTATACTGGTTCTCAGAGCTTTGTTTGTTGATGGTTACTGTTCGTGAAGTCAGAAGGCAGCTGGACCTTGTGGAAGCCAGGAATGACCTTGTGGAGGGAGCTTTGTCCTCTGCAGCCGGGTGGGCTGGGAAAGAAGACCGCTGTGCAGGCACTTTCCCTTTCATCTCCCTGAGTTTTCCCTCGCTTAGCCCGCCTGCTTTTAGGGACATTGTCTCCTACAGCATTCTGCCCCCATCCCACAAAGTTGGACACCATGTAAACAGACACAGGCTTCTTGCGAAGCACGTACCTGGTAACGTCTGTCAGTTCAGAAGGAATGAGGAACCAAAGCCCCGAGGCAGTGTAACAGGTGATTTTCAATGTGTGTTGTCTTCATTCATCATCTTATTTGATCTCACCACAGCCACGTGAGATGTTCGGGACAGATGATGTGATTTCGACTCAAACTCCCACACACAGGTAGGGTAGGTAGTTTCGCTGGGATTCAAACCTGGGAATTACAGCTCCTAGTATTGAAGCTCAACCCCAGTGCTTTGCTATCCCCGTGTCTTCGGCGTTAATGTGTCGTTCGGGATCTAAATGCCACCTGGCACACAGCCTTGAGCCAGCGTTGTCCGAGTCCCACACAAGAAAGGACCATTGTTCTTTTGCAGTGACCAACTACAAAGTGAGTAAAGTTGTTGAGAGAGAGAGGACTATTTACGAGTCACATGTTCT